AGAAATGTTGAAATGATAGAATATTATTTGTGAAAACATAGCTGATGAAACAGCAGGTCCATCAAAGTTTACTCGGCATTTATATGCATGTTATAAATATTTTCAAAACCAAGTCCATTTGGAAGAAAGAATGTTACATGAAAATGCTGACAGAAGTAATGTTCATGATTTCACGTGTATTCATTAATGCTTTCTGACTTTCTTATATAGTCTCACTTCATGTTGCCAACATTAGAAACCTACATACAGGGACTGATCTTGTGGCGTGGTGGGTTAAACTGCCTCCTGTGATGCCAGCGCCTCATATGGGCACCTGTTCAAATCCTGGCTGCTCCGCTTCCAATCCAGCTCCCTGCTAATGCATCTGGGAAAGTAGTTGAGAATGGCCCAAATTCTTAGGTTCCTGCCACCCACCTGGGAGACTTGGATAAAGCCCCTGCCTCCTGGCTTCAGCCTGGCCTAGCCCTGACTGTTATGGCCATTTGGGGAGTGATGACCCTGCAAATACAAGATCTCTCTCTCTCTGTGTGTGTCTTTGTCTCCCTTCCTTTCTCTGTAACTCTGCCTTTCAAATAAATAAACAAATATTTTTTAAAACCACACACACAAATGACAAGACAAAATGTCTTAGCTTGGAAATATTGGATAACTCTGAAGCAGAGGAGGTAGGTTGTAAACCAGTTTCCACAACACTAGCTTGATGTATTTAGGAACAGGACAGTGGTGAAGAAAACCAATTCTCAGACAAATAAGGGTAGCAGAAGAGTTTTGTAACAGTTGAGTAAACACATTGATTTTGCTAACATGACAGTGATGCAAAGAAAGAATTTATTTTTCAGCTTCATTGCTGACAAACATAAATTTCCCTAAAGTATATGGAACTTTAAAAGGTTACAATATCTGTAAATGTGGCTTGGAGTTTTGTTTTGCTTTTCTTGCAATATATTCTGATTGTACAGGAATAGTGACAAGGAAAATATGCTAGAGGTTGTGCCAGGATGTAAATCAGCGTGTTTTGCCTTATGAGGAAGTCTTACTATGCCAGATGAACTAAGCAGTGTGCTTGCTATGTCAGCTGAATTAACAATAGCTCACTCAAAGTGTGAATTTGAGATTTCTAAAACATTAAATGATTGGGAGTTGATCTTAACAGTTGAGCTGATCAGCTGTCATCATATGCTGATGTAAACCTTGTTTATCAGGGAAATTATTAGTCTAGAGTATTTGAACTTTGGGGTGGACTCTCATACTCTTTTTGCAAGATGAGAAATCATTTTGGCCCCCAGATTTTTGAATATGTGAATTAGACTTCTTTGCTTGAAAGCTCCTTCACTCATTCACTCACTCCCTTCCTTTCTTCCTCTTCCCTCCCTCCCTTTTTCCTTCTTCCTTTTCTCTCTCTCCCTTCCTCCCTCCCTTCCCTTCCCTTCTTCCCTTCCATTCCCTATTTATTTTAGCCTTCCTGTAAGGAAGAAATGTCAGATTTTTTTCAATGGCAGATAAATCAAACAGCAAATATGACGGTTAGAAATTTGGGGAGAAGTTTTTATAACTTGTTATGGTGGATCTATAATATAGAAACAATTACTAGTAAAGTTGTGTTTTTTTTGTTTGTTTTTTTTTTTTTTTTTTTTTTTTTTTTTTTTGCCCCGGAGTGATAAGGCTTTACTGGGGACAGGGCATCCGTCAGAACGGAAGGCACAGAGAGAGAGCGCCCAGTAGCTCGGACTGGGAGAGAGCGAGGTTACATGGTTGAATGGGGAAGGCCAGGTGGGCTGAGCACCAGTAAAGTTGGTTGTAATCTAAGTTGAAAAAGTTAGCATAGAGATGGTCCTCTATATATAAAGTCATGCTAAAAATGATCCATAATGAAGAAGGAGATGGGACAGGGAATGGGAGGAGGGAAGGGAGCAGGGTTGGGGGCATGAAGGAAAGAACCACTGTATTCCTAAAGTTGAATCTATGTAAAAATGCATTCATTAATAGAAGGGGAGAGGGAGCGGGAAAGGGGAGGGTTTTGGGTGGGAAGGAAGTTATGGGGAGGGGGAAGCCATTGTAATCCAAAAGCTGTACTCTGGAAATTTATATTCATTAAATAAAAGTTAAAAAATGCATTCATTAAATAAATATATATGTATATATGTATATAAAGAAAAAGAAAAATTATAGTCAGATACTTAAAAATTTTGATAAGACATTTTGAATTGTGTTTTCCATGAAAAGAGAATCCATGGGTAGGAAATTCATGTATCAGGAATCAACTTTTTTAAAAATTTAGGTTTAACTATATATTTTTTTCTTTTTCTGGTTAAACCAGTGAGGCACTAAAGGCAAATTTTGAAAAGCAAATTTTTTGCATTTCAGAGAAAAATTTTTATCCTAAGCTTGCTGAAATTGCTTTAAAAATCTCTCGGGTTGGGACCAGTGCTGTGGCATAGCTGGTAAAACCGCCATCTGCAATGCTGGCATCCCACATGGGCGCCTGTTTGAGACCCGGCTTCTCCACTTCCAATCCAGCTCCTCTACTATGGCCTGGGAGAGCAGAGGAAGATGGCCCAAGTCCTTGGGCCTCTGTCCCTGCATGGGGAGACCTGGAAGAAGCTCCTGGCTCCAGATCGACCCATCTCCAGCAGTTGTAGCCATTTGGGGACTGAATCAACAGATGGAAGATCTCTCTCTCTCTCTCTCTCTCTCTCTCTCTCTCTCTCTCTCTCTCCCTGCCTCTGTCTCTTTGTAACTCCATCTTTCAAATAAATATATTTTTTAAAAAAAATTTTGTATCCTGTTTGTCAACATACATGAGTGAGAGTAGTTTTTTGAGTGCTTTTTTATTTTGTTTGTTTGTTTTTCTACAACAGTAGAGCCAAGCTGTAAGCAATAATTGATTCTGGAAATGTCAATTTCTTTCTGAGGGCTATTAAAACAAAACATAGATGTAGTTCAGATGTACATTATCCCTTGTGAGTAGGCTTGCTATCAGTCCAGCCTGGATTACATAAATTAACAAATGTGGTAGCCTGCATCCAAGATAACCCCCACTATGCCCTACCTCCTGATATTGATAGTTGTATAATCCCCCCCATGGTGCCAGGACTGATATCTGCAACCAATAGAGTGAGGCTCCTTGATAGTATGTCACTTCTGAAATTAGGTTGTAACAGATACTGCAGCTCCTGTCTTGTTTGCTTTGATGCTTTCTCTCTGGAAGCCAGCTGCCAGATGGTGAACAGCCCAGTGGAGAGGCTGGGAGCAGGTGAGGCCCTTCCCCTTCGCATGACCAGCTCTGACCAGCATCTTAGACTTGAAACCCAAGCACCCAACTGAGCTCCTTCTAAGATCCTGAAAAACAGACTCTTTAAGATAACAAATTTGTGTCGTCCTAAAAGCCACTAATTTCTGGAGTAGTTTTTATGTAGTAATAGATATATATAGTAATCAACAAGCACACTCGTTACATTAAAATTTTTACATAATTATGTGTTTGCTATTCTTTCAGAAAGGGTGGGGACCATCCGGCCCGTGGGCCAAGTAAGGCCTATAGAATCATTTGGTCTGGCCATGCCTAGGCAACCACAGATAGAACTCAAAATTCAATAAATTTATAGCAAGCTAATTTTTCGCTTGACAATTTTGTATGACCTGCAAATGATATAAATACCCAAATGATTCCCTGCCTTGAGAGTGTGTGAATTTGAAAAATTACTTTTTTGCCTGTAACTTTTGTCTAAATTATGTTTATAAAGTGGCAAAACTTATTAAATTGGTAAGTTTTCTATATTGATTACCTACGTGCATACTTTCAAAGAAAAACATACAGCTTTGTGTAATTCTCCCCTTTCTTCTTTCTTTTTTTTCTTAAAGATTTATTTTGTTTATTTGAAAGATAGAGTTAGAGAGGTAGAGCCAGAGAGAGAAAAAGGTTTCCATCTGCTGGTTCACTCCCCAAACGAATGCCAACGGCCAGAGCTGAGCTGATCCGAAGCCGGGAGCTTCTTTGGGTCTCCCACGTGGGTGCAAAGGGGCTAAGATTTGGGCCGTCTTCTGCCTGCTTTCCCAGGCCATAGCAGAGAGCTGGATTGCAAGAGGAGCAGCCAGGACTCCCATATGGGATGCAGGCACCGCAGGCCTGGGCTTTAACCCACTGTGCCGGCCCCTTCTTCCCTTTTTTCTATTTTAATTACATTTATCTGTAATTTTATGGGTCTGTATCTAATAAAACATTTGGATGACCTTTTAAACTTTTTAACTTATTTAACCAGCTGTTCATTTTTGTTTCATTTCACAAAAATACTGGCCTATGAAAGATTGAAGTTGGTTGAAGAGGAAAAGGAGAGTTGTTCTTCACCACAGCTAGTCTAGGAGATCTACTCTGTCATAGTCTTCATAGTACTTTTCACTGACCTTGTCAGAATGTTTGTCTCACTTGGTTATGATTGTTCGTGTTCCCTGTTAAATTGAGAGCTCTGTGAAGAGCTGAGTCCATTTCCGTGTTTGCTGTTAACATCTTGGATACCCAAAACATTGGTCTGGTACTTAGCAGCTACTTTGTAGGTGCTGGTTGAAAGAATTAACATTTCTTTTACTTTTTTTTTAAATCCTCCCTTGAGAGAGAGAGAGGTCTTCCATCCACTGGTTCAGTCCCCAAATGGCTGCAGTGGCTGGAACTGAGCTGATCTGAAGCCAGGAGTTTCTTCCAGGTCTCCCATACAGGTTCAGGGGCCCAAAAACTTGGGCCATCTTCTGCTGTTTTCCCAGGGCATAGTAGAGAGTTGGATCAGAAGTGGAGCAGCCAGGACTCAAACCATATAGGATGCTGGCATTGCAGGTGGCGACTTTACCCACTGAGCCACAGCGCCAGCCCCTCTATTACCTTTTTTTAAAATTGTGTTGGAACAATGATTAATTTCTGAAGTTATTAATTCCAATAAGTTGGCTATTCTTGGCATTTCTCTTACTCGGTACCAGAGATTTTTGTGAAATTTGTGTTTTTCTCTCCATAGTACAGCTGCTGCCTCTGAAGAAGATGGATCAAGTCGATATCCACGAACAGATAGGAGTGGGTTCAGTAGATATAACAGGGATGGAAATGCTTCAGGTAATCTGCTATCTAGTAGTGCATTGGAAAAGAAAATTGAAGAACTTGAAAAGGTATGAATTATAAATTATTTAACATCTATAAAATTATGTATTATGTACTTAACTGTGTTGCTTGAACAGATTGTCATTTGTAGACCTGCCACTGGTTCTGAGTTGCACTGTTGTTTGAGACATTTTTGTGTAAGAATAAATCTGCTTAGAATTATTTTTAAGAATAGTTCAAATGAATATTGGCATATATTTGTGAACCTTAGACCTTTAATTTTAAGAGTTTTCTATTTTATAACATTGTTATTTTTTAGGTCACATCTAAGCCTTAGTACTAGTTTCTTCTTGGAACCATTAATTCATTGTTTTAAATTTAAAATTTTAGAGAACACATAGCCTAATGGTTTTCAAGGAAGTTCCTTGGGAAGGCTTCAGGTCTGGAAAGAGTTTGGGTTGAGTTGCTGGTAGCTTGTAGCAGCTGATTGGTGGAGATTGCTGGGTGCTTTCTCTGAGACTTTGTAGGACAGAAGCCAAGGTCTGGCCAAGGCCTTTTAAGTTCTGCCTCCCTTTTATACCCAACATGTCTGGCTGAGTCCAAGGTCCTGGATTCTAAATAAGATTTATTTGAATAAGGTGTTTCATTGTTTTTATAAAAAAAGTTTTAAAATCAGCGATCTCTTTCAGTTCCTTCATTGTATCAATCATCAGTTAATTGGCAAAACCAGAAATAAAACTGAGGGCCTTTGTTTTTGTGTTTAGTTTTCTAGTGGGGCATCTCTTTTTCTTACACTTTATATTTTTATTTACAGTTTTTGAGTTTCCTCTAACAAGGAATTATTCATTTTTAAAAGGCAGTTTATAAGTAATGGTGGTGATCAGCTAAAGAAGGTTAGTCACTGTGAGTCTGTAACTGCTTGCTGAAGACTTGTACATATAAACATGGGTTTAATCAGGACCATAACTTACTGTTCCAATATGCCCCTCATGACCCAATCTTTCTTCCCTTGAAAGTGTCTTAAGAAATTCTTTGGAAATTTTCATATATCTAAGATACTTTACCAAATTTGGCAGGTGTATGCCGTTTAAGATTATAAACAACCAATTCCTTCTCAATTAATGCTTTGTAATCATATCTACCAGGAAATACTAAGAGAAAGGCAAGAAAACCTAAGGCTTGTGAGACTGATGCAAGATAAAGAAGAAATGATTGGAAAACTCAAGGAAGAAATTGATATGTTAAATAGAGTAAGTATTTCACATATTTCAACTTCAGGGTTTGCAATTTTTGGCAATTGGCTAAAAATACATAAATATGAACAAATTATTTAATTTTATTATTCTGTTCTTTTGATAATAAGATTATGAGAACCCCTCATTTTGTTCTATAAAGCTAATATCCTCTGGGCAGTTATCAGTTTTGCTCACTCAGTTTTATTCTTTGGGGTTGAAATGGTGAATGGATTTATTCTGTTTTGCTGGTCTGGAAGTGACAGGGAGGTTGGTAACCACCATTTGTATAAGGGCACTGCAGTCCACACTGTTGCCTGAATAAGGAACTAAAACTGGCCCTTTGTTACCATAAAAAATTTCAAGTATCTTTGCCATTTTTCTACCTGTATGCATCCCAAGTTTTAGCCTTACCTCACACTTTATATTATTATTCTTTGTAGTTCTATCTTTAGCCCCAGAATTGATTTACTGATAATAAATAAAGTTCTAAGTAAGGCATCAACCACAGGTTATACATGATGACACAGAGACTCAGAGTTTAACTTGCTCACAGTCATATAAAGGTGCTTCAAGAAGTTTGTGAACAATTGGGCCGTGTTGTGGTGTAACTGATTAAGCTGATGCTTGGGGATGCTCACTCTTGAGATGGAGTCCCACTTGTGCTTCTGATCCAACTTCACGCTGTTGCACCTGGGGAGGTAGCAGGTGAGGGCGCAAGTACTTGGGCCCCTGCCACCCTTGTGGTAGACCCTCATGAAGTTCCTAGCTCCTGGCTTCAATCTGGCAGCCAAGTCCCAGCTGTTGTGGGTATTTGGAGTGAACCAGCTTAAGGAAGCTCTCCCTCTCTGTTACACTGCTTTTCAAATAAACAAATAAAACTTTAAAAAGTTTGTGGAAAGCGGAATAAAAAATACTTGGGGCAGGCATTTTGAATGCTTACATCTCATATCAGAGTACCCAGGTTTGAGTCGGCTCCATCTCCTGATTCCACCTTCTTTGGAGGCAGCAGATCATGGCTTAAGTACCTGGGTCCCTGCCACCCACATTCTGAGACCAGAATTTGAGTTCCAGAGTTCTTTTTTTTTTTTTAAGATTTATTTATTTATTTGAAAGGCAGAGTTTCAGAGAGGCAGAGGCTGAGAGAGAAAAAGAGTGAGAGAGATCTTCCATCCACTGGCCACAGTGGCCGGAGCTACACCAATCCGAAGCTAGGAACCAGGAGCTTCCTCCGGGTCTCCCGTGTGGATGCAGGGCCCAAACCCTTGGGCCATCTTCTACTGCCTTCCCAAGCCATAGCACAGAGTTAGGTTGGAAGTGGAATTGCTGGGACTCAAACCAGTGCCCATTTGGGAAGGCAGCACTGCAGGTGATGGCTTTACCTGCTTTGCCACAATGCCGGTCCCTGAGTTCCTTAGTTCTGACTTTTCAACCAGCCCCAGATGTTTGGGGGTGAACCAGCAGATAGGAGTTTTGTCTCTCTCATCTCTGTTTCCTTGCATCTCCAATAAACTAAACCAGTATAAAAATAAGAGTTTTTAAAAAGATAAGTATATTTTGTGCAAAAATATATATTATGAAAAGGCTCTGCATAAATTTCAGAAATTTACTTTTGCTCCCAAATAAGCTTATCTTTTGATTCCAGTTTGCCATGAAATTTTTGAAATACCTTATTTGTATAATAAGTGTTGATGCAATATTTGCACTGAGGTATTTGATAGTCCTACTCTTTTGTTAGACTACTTTCATCCTGATTTCTAACACAGGTTTCCTCTGTTGGTGCTAAAATTTTGTTTAAGAAATTATGCAAATATATATTTTTTAAGATTTATTGACAAGGGAAGAGAGAGATTGAAACTTTACCATCCACTGTTTCATTGCCTAAATGGCCTGAACAGTTGGGGGTGGGCCAGGACTAAGCCAGGACCTGGAATTCCTTCAGGGTCTCTCAGGTGAACAGCAGGGATCCAAGTACTTGGGCCATCTTCTGGTGCTCTGTCATTTAATCCAAAATCCTAGATAGATCTCAGTTGTGATAATTTTAATAATCTCATATTTTTAGTTTCAACAGATTTGTTCCCCAGCATCAGTTTGTGAATAAATGCAAACTTGATGTTTTAGTTGTTTTTTGTTTTTTGTTTTGTTCTTTTGACAGGCAGAGTGGATAGTGAGAGAGACAGAGAGAAAGGTCTTCCTTTTTTCCGTTGGTTCACCCCCCCACAATGGCCGCTCTGGCGGCACGCTGCCAATCCAAAGCCAGGATCCAGGTGCCTCCCCTTGGTCTCCCATGCGGGTGCAGGGCCCAAGCACTTGGGCCATCCTCCACTGCACTCCCGGGCCACAGCAGAGAGCTGGCCTGGAAGAGGGGCAACCCGGACAGAATTTGGCACCCCGACCGGGACTAGAACCGGGGTGCCAGTGCCGCAGGCGGAGGATTAGCCTAGTGAGCCGCAGCACCGGCCTATGTTTTAGTTTTAAAATCATTTACCAGTTGTCCAAAGTTAGTATACTAAATTTATCAGAATATGTCTTTCAAATTGATTGTGTCAAAATATTATAAACTGCAAAGAGAAATCTGTAAATATCTGGTTTTCTAACAGTTGTTCAATAGTCTGCTTTGAAATAAGTTTCTATTTTAGTATTAACTTAGTATTATCTAAGTGGTTATATTTTGGAGGTGAGGAAAAATTTATTTATTTATTTAAAAGCCAGTGTTACAGAGAGAGAAAGATCTTCCATCCTCTGGTTCACTCCCCAGTTGGCCACAATTGCTGGGCCTAGACAAGGTCAAAGCCAGGAGCCCAGAGCTGCTTCTGGGTCTACCATGTAGGTGCAGGGGGCCAAGGACTTGGGCCATCATCTGCTGCTTTTCCCATTATCAGGGAGCTGGGTCAGAAGTGGAGCAGCCAGGACTGGAACCCATGTCCTTATGGAATGCCAGCTCTGCAGGCTGCCACTTTTAACTGCTGAGCCACAGTACCAGCCCCTGGCTCATACACTTTTAAAGATGAGAAGTAAATACTTAGTTTAATGGCTTAAGTTATTTATGATTTTTAAAAATCAGAAGCTCAGGGGCCGGCACTGTGGTGCAGTGGGCTAAGCCACCGTCTGCAGTGCCAGCATCCCATATAGGGACCGATTCCATTTCAAGTCCCAGCTACTCCACTTCCATTCCAGCTCTCTGACAATTTGCCTGGGAAAGCAACAGAAGGTGGCCCAAGTCCTTGGGCCCCTGCACCCACTTGGGAGACCCAGAAGAAGCCGTCACAACCATTTGAGGAGTGAACCAGGAGATGAGAGATATCTCTATCTTCCCTCCTGCCATGATTCTGACTTTTAAATAGGTAAATAAATAAACATTTTGATAAGAGAGAGAGAGGTCATCACAGTTTAAAAATCGTGACTTCTGACGTCCCTTGAAAAACTGAACCATCTGGCAAGAACTGACCTGCTAAGTATGATAATCATGAAGTTCTGATAATGGATGCTCACTATGGGTTTAAAGTTGCTTTTAGAACTTGCTCACATTTCAACATTGATAGTATGAATTATCTATAAATACGTATTTTTAGTGGTTTTTTTTTTACATCTCCTTTAGTATATCCTAACGCCTATTTTTCAAGTATTATTTTCCTTTTTCCCCACTTAAGGAACTGGATGACGTAGAAGATGAAAATCAACAACTAAAGCAGGAAAATAAAACTCTTTTGAAAGTTGTTGGGCAGTTGACAAGGTAGAAGATCCAAGGCTCAATGTGGAAAAAATATTTTAAAACTACTGATTGAATGTTAATGATCAATGCTAGGACTATACTCCTATGCTGCAATACCTTAAAATAACTAAGTATGTATATTTATTTCTAAAAAATGGATGGATGTTTATTTTCAAAATATTTCTTTTCTTTATTAGTTTCAGAATAGTTTCAACTTTTATTTCATAAGTAGCGTCTTTCAGTTATTAAAATGATAGATAATGCCTCCTTTGGTTTTACGTGGTATTCAAATAATAACATGGCTTAAAGTCACAACCATTTGAGTTTGTTTTATCTATGATAGTACATTTTTCTCCCTAAAAGATATATGCATAGTCTTTGTTTACATGAATTCAAATACTTTTGGGGAGTTACCTTCACATGCCTTATTACTAATGTGTGCAGCCTTTTACTTGTTGATGACTTAGTTAACAAGGTATTTAGTCTACTGTTTGTTCTTTCCACTTTAAGTGATCTATAGTAAGAGGGTTAGACTATTTTGTATAATGTAGTCTTATAAAAGGAAAGCTGTTATAAAATAAAAGTCAGTTTATAGCATGTTCTAGTTGGCTAAATGTAAATTTAAGAAAATACTTGAATTTTGCTATATATAGTAAGTAAAAATTTACTGTTTTGTGTTTGAATATTGAAAAAAATTTTAAATCATTTTAGCTTCTGAAATATTACAATTGTGATTCTAGTGTAAAGTGTCTTATGTAGGTACTACTTTTTTTTTTAATTATTCCAAGGTTTATTAGTGAACATGGCATATTTAAAAAGTTGTTTATTCTTCAGGCCTTGAAAATGTATACAACTCCAATGTGTAAAAACATCCATATTATTATATTCATTAAACTCAAAAAAATCTTTATCCATACTTTAAATGTTTATACATATGTTAACAAAACCACATATAAGCAGACATAATACTAAAATACTTTGCCTAATTTCTAAGTTGGAGTACAACACTTTGATGCAGGTTTTCTCATGAGGATATTCCCCTTCCCACATACAAAACTGAAGCAATTATTTTTAAAGAAATATACAGACTTGCTCTTATTAAATATTAATAGTGTTTAGAGTTGTTTCATAATTATATTTTCACATTAAGAACCTCCTCCTCTACCTTAAAATACATTAACACTGAAAGATAGGAGCCTCTCAGTTGAATCTTTTTTTTTTTTGATAGGCAGTTAGAGAGAGACAGAGAAAAAGGTCTTCCTTTTCCATTGGTTCACCCCCCAAATGGCCGCTATGGCCGGCGCGCTGCGCCAATCTGATGCCAGGAGCCAGGTGCTTCCTTCTGGTCTCCCATGCGGTTGCAGAGCCCAAGCACTTGGGCCATCCTCCACAGCCTTTCTGGGCCACAGCAGAGAGCTGGACTGGAAGAGGAGCAACCAGGACAGAACCGGCACCCTAACCAGGACTAGAACCCGGTGTGCCGGCACCGCAGGTGGAGGATTAGCCAAGTGAGCTGCAGCACCGGTCATCTCAGTTGAATCTTAAACAGCAATACCGGTAACTTTTTAGTCAATTGATGTATCAAAGTGGCTTGAATATAGTAAAATCCATCTTGGTCACTACTAAGTCTCTCTTCCACTTAGCCAAGCTCTTCTGTTATTCGCTTGTTAGGCAAAGCAGGGAAAGGTGGAGACAATTGAGCAACCAATACGTGAAGGAAATTAGAAGTATCACATGTTGAATTCTAAGTCTACCTTTACCTCTTAAATTGGTTTGCCTCCTCCCCACTTCAGAAGTTCCAGGCTTGGCTGAATATCAGAATCACATGAAAAACTTAAAAAGAACTCCCTAGCTACAGCTCCTGGATAGGTTTAGATTGAGACCCTGTATGCCATAATTTTTCAAACTCAGCATCTGATGTTTCTGATCACAACGTAGTTTTAGAAACAGCTGCTGTTGTGTCTTTACTCCTATATTTTCCAGTGCAGATCCTGAAATCAAAATAGTTTTAGCTACTAGCACTTTCTTCATTTTAGTTTATTTAATATCATATGTCTATATTATACTAGGGATCTTCAAAAAGTTCATGAAAATGTGTATTATGAAAATAATGTGCACGAATTTCCCTAAATTTTATGGAAAATGCATATTATAAAAATAGTATATATGGATTCAAAATTCTTCGCACCAAAATAAATTTACCTTTTTTTAAAAAGATTTATTTTAGGGCTGGCACCATGGCTCACTTGGTTAATCCTCCGCCTGCGGTGCCAGCATCCCATATGGGTGTCGAGTTCTAGACCCAGTTGCTCCTCTTCCAGTCCAGCTCTCTGCTTTGGCCCAGGAAGGCAGTGGAGGATGGCCCAAGTGCTTGGGCCCCTGTACCTGCATGGGAGACCAGAAGGAAGCACATGGCTCCTGGCTTCAGATCAGCATAGCTCCGGCCATGGTGGCCATTTTGGGGGTGAAGCAACAGAAGGAAGACCTTTATCTCTGTCTCTCTCTCACTGTCTAACTCCATCTGTCAAATAAAAAGAAAAAAGATTTATTTTACTTATTTGAAAGGCAGAGTTAGAGGGAGAGAGAGAGCTCTTCTATTCACTGGTTACTCTCCGAGTGGCTTCAGTGGCCTTTGCTGGGCCAGGCCAAAGCCAGGAGCCAGGAACCTCATCCAGATCTCCCACGTGGGTGCAGAGACCAAAACACTTGGGAAAGCAGCAGCGGATGGCCCCAGGCCAGCAGGGAGCTGGATCAGAAGTGGAACAGCCGGGATTCCAACCAGTGCCTCTATGGGATGCCAGCCTTGCAGGTGGTGGCTTAACCTCTCACACCACAATGCCGGCCCCTAAACTTGCCTTTTAATTCCATTTTTACATGAACTTTTTCAAGTACCCTTGTATACTCTGCTCACAAAAAGTTCAGAGTACCAACTTTGGTATTGTTGCAGAATTACTGCAAAGAGTGCTTCCTTCTTGGAGACTTTTACGCAGCATGGGAACAGTGACTTCTGCCCATATGTCAGAGTGGTCACCACCTTGGTTGCAAGGTACTCATCTCCTTTTAGTTACCCTTAGGTACGTCTTTTTGTTGCCTAGTTCCTCACACTTTTTCAAATGTTCATCTGAAAAAGAGAGCATTCTTTCCCCATCTGCTGTTTCACTCCCCCAATTCTGCAAGGAGCAAGGGGTAGCGGGAACTCAAAATCCAGATCTACCATGTGGGTAGCAGGGCTCCAGTTACTTGAGTCATCACTGCTGCCTTCCCAGTGTTTGCATCAGCAGGAAGCTGGAATGGGAGCCAGAGCAGGTATGCAACCGAGGGACTCCAGAGCAGTACATGGGCATCCTACCCACTGCCATCTGAACTGCTAGGCCAAACACCTGCCCTCTCACTTACACTCTAAGTATGAAGATGCTGTCAGTCTCCAACCTTAAAATATGTTAGTATATTAGTTTCTCAATAAAAGAAATACGTTGAGTTTTCCATTTAATTCATACTTAAGAGAACATTTATTTTTTTTTAAATTATACTAATTATTAGTGCTTTTAAAGACTGGTTTATCATTTTTCCTTTTCTTCAGTTTTTTGGGAATGTTTCCAGCCATAAGTTTTGGTTTTTTAGCTTGATGATACCAGGTGCAAATATAGGCCTGCAGCTTGGGCAAACCATCTCACCTCCTTAAAATGTGTACTTATTTCACAGATTTTTTTCCCCTTGACCATTAAAAATAAGTAGAATCTGCTACAGTTTATTTGTAAAACATAAAAAGCATTGATTTTTTTAAAGATAATTTAAGTGCATGTTTGCTACCGTAGAAAACTTGGCTATTATCGGTGAAGTACAAGTGTTCACAAAATTACTACTCCTATTTACAAATATTATTTCCCGTATCTCTTGGGAATTTGTTGTATAATAAAGCACATCCAAAATTCTAGTATGTGTATGAGATTGTTTTGAAAACAGTAACTGTATTATTTTTAAAATGAACACGACTTACCTTCCTTATTTCTGATAGGAATTAACTTGAAAATTACTGTAGCCATTTTTATTTCATCTTTCTAGAATTGTGGGTAACTTTATTGCACTACAGTACCTTAATGGAGGAAGGGAAATGCTTTTGGACATGTAATTCTAAATAATGTAAGGGATTTACTGAATAGTAGTAGATTAGCATTTTTACATTTGTTTGATTAGTTTAAAATATAAAAAACTAAGTTTTGGGGAAGTTGTCATGTAAAGTCAGGTGATCTTTTTCTTAATTTAAAAAATTTTAAATTGTAATAGAAGTAACACATTGTTGAAGTGAGAAACCTACCTCAGGTACATGTGGTTTATGCTTTCTGGATTAATCTGGAGTTTTGAAATTTGAAATTAAAATGTAAGATTTTAAGTCTACTAATAACTTTTGAAAACAGTACAAATCAGTGTATTAGAAATATCCATGTTTTCAATACCATAAGATGACAGCAAAGGCATTGGATTTGACCATTGATCTGATGTCCTGGACAGTATTTTTGAGTACAGTGAGGGCCATTTTTCTGTTTTGGAGTAGTTTTATAATTTTGAGTTTGACTAATAAGTTCAGACAGTATTGGCTCTTATTTAATAACACTTAAGTCTTATTTAATAACCCAGTATGAAGCCAAACACAACAGGTCTTCATGGAAGGAAAAATGTTAAGTGAGGAGGAACTACCATTTAGAAGTCAGAACTTTAAGTTAGTATTAAACATTCTCATATTGTATCTGAACGAGTTCTAATTTGTAACAGAGCTTGACTTCTTTTATGTTAGAAAAACAAAGAAAGAACTACACTGTCATACATAAAGAACATCCCATTGATGAGGACTGTAATTCATACTGAGAACAATGTGACCTTTTTGTTGTTCCATTAAATTGGAAACATAATACTAATAAATAATGAAGTGGATTGAGGGAGGGTAGGGTGGGAAGTATCGGTATGTTCTTAAAACTGTATATATGAAATACATGAAATCAGTTCCCCTTATATAAATTTTAAAAAAGGACTTGAACCATTACAGAAGAAAAACCAAGCCCACGTTATTTTTATTGTACTTAGCTAGAATATCAAAGCACATTAAATTTATGTCAGCACCCCCCAAAATACTTATATGTCAGAGAAATATAGATTTGAAGTTTGCTTAAAGTTTTATACCTGTTTGAGCAAGTATTTCTGAGTCTACTGGGTATACTAGTATAGATATTGCACAAGTTTTAAATAAATGGATAGAGACCACCTCCTCAGCTCTTGGTGTACAATCAATATAGTGTATATCGGTAGCACAGAGTACAAACTTAGCTAGCATTTGTCTGTCTAAACTAGGTAGTTCACTCAGAAGTACATTTTTATGTTACTAATCCAGCCATTACCTTTCATATGTAGTTAATAGGTAATGTTTAATTTGCTTCAATATATACTTAATGATGAAGTGAAAGAACTGACACATATTGGGAAATATCTTCTTTAGATAATTATGTATTAGGAAAAGAACTTTTATAAGGAATTTGTAGCAGTTAACAAAGTGAAAGAATTCAGTGTATATCACATACACCAAACAGTTAATGGTACTCGAATATGATTTCAGGTTAGTGTTTCTGTGTACATACTGATTACTGATTTGCCATTAACGTTATTTAAAGCTACTCTAATCTACAGCTCATGTGTTGGTAGTTACTCTCGTAATAATAGAATGTTAGTGATGGTCATTTGATGGACATTGACTAAGTGCCTGTGTTTTGTTTTCCCCTCTAGATGCATAATTGGTATGTTTCTTTTTTGGTGATCTTGTTTCTTGAAGCATTGGGTTAAACTATTCAGGGATTTTATTCTTACGCTATTTTTCTCCAAATTTAAGTAGCAGGTGGCTGTTGCTGTTAGCAAAGACTGTATGAAGGC